TGAAGAGATATGATGCAGCATCAGGATTAAAGGATAACTCACTAACGACCTGTGGTGTATAGATGACACAGCTTAACTTGCTGAAACCAAAAGGACTTAAAGCACTTACTGGAGGTCAAAGAATCCAGTATTTGATAGCGATTAAAACTCAATGTAAAGAAAAATAAAAATCCTTACAACTGTTTCAATTATATCACAATAAACAGAGAAAACATATAAGTTGTGAAGGGTTTCCTTTTACTTGGATCCACAAACATGACTCATGGAAAAAGCAGTCAAGAAAGCAAACGGTATATTACATTGGGCAGATTATTGAAAAAGACTTCTTTAAAGCATTAGAGCAAGGTTGTTACTTTGAGGTGTAAGGTGCACTTGACCCAACCCATGAAATTTGTAATCACCTCATCTGCATGTGGACCATGAATAAGGAAGACCAGAGAAGGAAAAACAACTGCATTTGGATTGCAGTGTTGGTGAAGAATATTGGAAATGCCAGTGCTAGAAGAACAAACAAACCTGTCTTGAAAGAAGTACAGCCAAAATGGACCTTAGAAGTGAGGATGGTAAGACTTCTTCGAGTTATTTTACACGTTATCAGGAAAGACAAGTCCCTGGAAGCGTAGAGGGGCAGCAGAAGAAAAGGAGCAACCCGTGACAAGGTCGATTGACCCAGTGACTGCAACAGCGGACTTGAGCATCACGGGAATTGTGAGGACAACTCAGGACCAATGTTTCATTCTGCTGTACAGAGAATTTGGACCAACTCACAAAGCAACCGTCCCGACAAAATTCAAATTGCATTCCATGAGTTTACGGAAAACCAATACTTCTCCCTACCTTTTAAACATCACTTAAGGGTGAAGGGAAACAACAGACAGTGTCAGACACGAAACAACAATACAAATTGATAACTGATCAAGGATTCACGAGGGTGGGAAAGGAAGGGAGAAAGAGCTGATACCAAGGGCTCAAGTAGAAAGAAAATGTTTTGGAAATGTTAATGGCAGCATATGTACAAGTGTTGCTTAATACAGTTGAATGATGGATTGTTATAAGATTTGTAAGAGCCCCCCAATAAAATGACTAATAAAAATAGATGAATAAAATAGAAGTCACTTGAGTGAGTCTTGGAAGGAACCTCAATGGCACTGTCAGGTAAGCACTGGACTGCAAGTGGACAGTAACACCCACCGGCCCCTCTGAGAGACAATGAGGCTGTCTGACCCTGGACGACTGATGTTATGAGTCTGAAGTAACTCAGCGGCAGTGGGTTGAATTAAATAAATATCTCTGTGCTCTATCCCAAGTGTATAACGAACAGATTTACTTTTCGTGATGAAAAAATACTGCACTGAAGTTCAGAAGAATCCTATTTTAATGTTGAGCAGGTCATTAATTCTAAATTCATAATCTTTATCATACATATGTTACTAAATTTATTTAACTTTATAATTTCCCCTTCATTTTTATTTTGTTAACTCCTAATCTAATTTATTTTTTTGTTTTAATGTTAGATGCTGAGGACATGCTCACTTCCAGATCTCTCAAAGCTGTTTGGAACACTTATGGACGTTCCCATTGTCGGAGATGTGCAAGAAGACAATCTTGAACTAGAGGAAATTGAAGATGAACATACTAAAGGAGGACCTTCTGATTCCGAGGACATGTGAGCATATTTTAATTAATTAATTAATCATTTTATTAGGGGCTCACACAACTCTTATCACAATCCATACATACATCAATGTGTAAAGCACATTTGTACATTCATTGCCTGTGAGCATATTTTTAATAATAAATACTGACACAGATAATTTTCTGAATTTATATGAGTTCTAGACAGCTTTTTAAATGGCCTGTGGCTGACTTTCTACTATGCCTTTAACAACTTATAACTTATTCAAAGTACAGTCATACAAATTATGTTAAGTATATTTGTCTCTATATAATATAATAGCGCAATCTCATTTGAGGAATCTAAGAAAATATTTCCTATTTGTCTTTTTTGTCTTGTTCACCACTTGGCATCCAGCACATTGTTTTGCACATGGTAGGTGCATAATAAATATTGGTTAATCTTATTTAATTCTATTTTTTTAACAGAATATTGTTGCTGTAAGTTGCCATCAAATGGGCTCCAACTCATGGTAACCTGTGTATAACAAAATGAAACATTGCCTCGTCCTGTACAATCTCCATAATCTTTTATATTGTTGAGACTGTTGTGTTGGTACATCTCATGGAGTTTCCCTTGTTTTCACTGACCTTCTACCTTACCAAACATGATGTCCTTTTCTAGCAGCTTATCTTTACTGATGTTACTGGTTTATAATAAGTATGGTTAGGACCATTAAATTAAAATAAGTCAAAAAACTCTGCTGACTGTACAAGATTCATCAGGTGAAATAGTATCTGCAAGTGTCACCAGAAGGATCCAAATTAAACACTATGAAGTCTTACATCCTCACTTCTAAGGAATATTCCAATTGTATTTTTTTAAAGGATGATTTTTTAATTCTTCTGGAAGGAATTTGTTATTTGATATTAAAATACCACATGATACAAGTATTGCAATGGGAAATTATGAAACACTTGTTGTTGTTGTTGTTGTTGTTGTTAGGTGCCACTGAGTCAGTTGCTATTCATGGTGATCCTTTGTACAACAGAACAAAACCACAATTGTTGCTATGTTTGACCCATTGTTGTAGCTGCTATATCAATCCATCTTGTCCCGGACCTTCTTCCTTTTCTCTGCACCTATACTATACCAAGAAGCATGATGTCCTTCCAGGGCCTCTCCTGACAGTATGTTGAAAGTCTTGTCATTTGGGGCTCTATGGACCATTCTGGCCACACTGCTAACAAGACAGATTTGTTGGTCCTTAGAGAGCCCAATGGTGCTTTCAATAATCTTCGCCAGCACCATAATTCAAATGAATTGATTGTCTTCAGTCTTCCTTATTCAGCGTCCAACTTTCACATGCATATGAGGCCAGTGGAAATAACATGGCTTGGGCCAGGTGCACCTTAGTCTTCAAAGTAACATTCTTGTTTTCAACACTAAAGAGGCTTTGTGCCGAATATGTATCCAATGCAATGCATCATTTGATGTCTTGACTGCTGCTTCCATGAGCACTGATTATGGATCCAAGCAAGACAAAATCCTGGACAACTTTAACCTTTTCTCCGTATTACCTGATGGTCCAGTTGTGAAGATTTAGGTTTTCTTTACATTGAGTTGTAATTCATACTAAAAGCCGCAGTCCTTGGTCTTCATCAGCAAGTCCTCAAAGTCCTCCTAACTTCCGGCTTAAGACCATCCAGTGGCAGTAAATTGACAGAAGCTTCTGGAACTGCCAGAAGTTCAGGCCGGATTCAGAAGAGGACATGGAACAAAGGATATCACTGCTGATGTCAGATGGATCATCAAAGCAGAGAATACCAGAAAGACGTTTCCTTGTGTTTTATTGACTATTCAAAGGCCTTTCCATATGGATTACAACTCAATGTAAGGAAGACCCAAGTCCTCGATTGGACCAATAGGTAACATCATGATAAACAGAAAAGGTTGAGGTTGTCAAGGAATTTTATCTTTCTTGAATCGCAATCATTTCCAATGGAAAGAGCAGTCAAGAGATCAAAAGACATGTTGCACTAGGTAAGTCTGATGCACAAGAACTCTCAGAGTATTAAAGAGCAAGGATTTTACTTTGAGGAATAAGGTGTGCCTGATCCAAGCCATGGTATTCTCCATTGCATCATATGCGTATGAAAATTAGACATTGAATAAGGAGGACCATACAAGAATCGATGCATTTGAATTGTGGTGCTGGAGCAGAATATTGAAAGTACCATGGACTGCTAAAAGGACCAACCGATCAGTATTGGAAGAAATAAGGCCAGATTGCTCCTTAGAATCAAGGATGGCAATACTTCGTCTTACATAGTTTAGACATATTGTCAGGAGAGACCAGTCCCTGGAGGACATCATGTTTGATAAAGTGGAGAGGAGGCAAACCAACAAAATGGATTGACACAGTGGCTGCATCAAATGGGCTCAGGCATAAGAATAATTGTGACAGTGGTGCAGTGTTTTCTTGTCGTGCCTACTAGGGTAGGGGTGTTGGATCAGAGCCGACTTGATGGCACCTAACAGCAACAACAACTTTCAGCAAGCAAGAGTATGCCATCTGCATATGGCAGGTTGATAATACTACGTAATACTCTAAAATTCCCCAGGAAAAGAAGCTGAAAGACATTCCTATCAGAGGGATGAGGGATACTGATGGGAAAGTCAAATCAGGAGGGGGGAAAGGAGGCAGACACGCCTGGAAGAAACAATTGCATGTCTGTTGGCAGTAAAAGGGGGAGGAGCAAACTCCAAGTTGGGAGCAGGGAGGACTAAAAATACTTTTAAGGACCCTAAGTGGGGAGATTATCCCTGGTAATATGCACAGGTTAAGCCACATTGGCCTGAGTTTCTGCACACACCCTGGGGACTCAGGCCAAGTGCCATAGAACACTGGGGGCATTAAATCCTGGATCTTCAAGGTGCAAAACCACTCCAAAAGCTGCATCAGAGGGATCCGATGTGGAAACTTCACTAGGTGAATCTACCTCATACACACTTAAGACTGAAAATTCATCTTGTTTGAAGAAGCAGAGGACGGCTATACCAAGAGTATTGGACTATATGCTGTACTAAGATATATATTATTCCAGCAAATCTGTGACTGACATTCTCAGTGAATCATTGTAAATTTCCCCTGACAACTAGCTCCTATTTTGTGTGTAGATAGTGTCTAGCCACGTAAGGATATAGTCTGTGCAAGTGAATCATTCAGGTACTGCGATATGAAGTTAGCCTACACTGGTCCAATATCCCTCTTTAAATAGCGTTTTAAAAATTAGTACTCATAGCTAATCAGTGACAATGTTAACGGAAGAGCTTTATGTTCCAGGAAGATGATCAATAAGACTCTACCATAAATTAACAAGGAGGTCTTTAAAGGGAGCAAAAGACAGATAAACATATATAGATTCAGGAATGGATTTAGGACTCACTATATCCTAGCTCCAAGAACAATTAATTCTTACATCATGGCCCTGCTCGATACTCATCCTCAGAAAGGGAACAGAGAAGATATGGGTGCTATAGTAAAGTGTGGGGAAGAAATTAGATGGCGCCCAGTTATCAAATAAAATAGCACATATGGTCTTAAAGGCTTGTTTCCAAACAAGCAGCTGTCTAAGTGAGGTGTCAACTAAGTTCACATGAGAGAAGCACACCAACATCCATGACCCAAGGATTATAAATCATATAATCTGAAGTTGAAGGAGGGAATTGTTTCAGAGCCTACATTTTGAGATTCTGGTTTGCTGATGGCAATGGGTAGCAGTGGGAGCTCAAGATACATTTGTGAGGTCTACACAAGAAATAAGCCTCTGGTGATTTCCCTTATCTATAATGTAGGGATGGGGATAAACTGGTTACCAAACAAAGAGTATTGGAGAAATTGCGATAGGAGATCAAAATGATAAACCTGACTTGAACAGTTAAAACCTTGTCATGTGTGTCTTGTCCTTTTTCCTTTCAATGTGATGGATGGTGTTAATGGATTGTCGGATGTTAATTCTGCATCCCTGGTATGAATCCCACTTGGTCATGATGGATTATTCTTTTTATATACTTTTGGGCAAGGTTTTGTTAAGGATTTTTGCATCTATGATCCTTAGATATATCAGCGTGTAGTTCTCTGTTCTTGTGGAACCCTTGCCCGGTTTGGGTATCAGTTTTATACTAGTTTCATAGAATGTGTTTGGCAGTTTACTGTCCCTTTTTATGTTCTGGAAGAGCTTGTGTACAATTGGTGTCAGTTCTTCCCTGAATGCTTGGTAGAATTCTCCTGTGAAGCCATCTGAGCCAGGACTTTTTTCAGTTGGTAGTTCTCTGATAACCTCTATTTCTTCTTTTGCTATGGGTCTGTTCATGTTCTTGACGTCTCTATGAGATAATCTGGGGAGGTTTTCTTTTTCCAGGTATTTGTCCATGTCTTCCAAGTTATTGTAGTCATTGTAGAATGTTCCAAAACTGATTGTGGTAGCAATTGTACAATACTGCTTGATGTGATTGAACTATGGAATGATATGAAATCTGTATTAGTTCCCAATAAAGTGGTTTTGAAAACAATAAAATAAAAGGCCCTGAAAGCTGCACACTGTTTCCTGCAGTATTGTGATTTCAAACCCATGACAGTATGGAGGGAGCAGATGGGCAGACCAGATGTTGTTTTGTTTATATGTGTGTTTTGCATGTAACTCGATTATTCTCACAAAATTCTTTTCTTTGTTATTCATAGGGACCAGGGGATGCGTAGGGGGTGGAGAAATGTAAACAACAGCACTTTTGATTTGATAGCTGTAGGATGTGATGCTCCCCTGAGACGGTAATCCTTCTTCTCTGACACCATCAGCCCTTTCAGCTCCTGAGACAGATGTTACAAACTTTTGGGAGAGATGGAACTAGGATGCCCTGCAATGAACTGATTAAGAAGGCAGAGTGGATTTTGAGAAGTCAAAATTCAGAGTTAGGAAAATAAGTTACAAAATATTGGGACATTAATGATATTTTTATGAAGTTAATTATAGATATGGAACAGCCTTATTTACACAAATACTTTGCACTTGTAAATAGTACTTTACTAAACAGTTTTAAACTACTATTTTAATTTTAACCACACTAAACTTACTTCAAAGATATGAAAGCTCTGAATCAAAGTGATTAGATTATTTGAACTCTGTAACTCAGGAAATGCATGGCAAATGCAGGATTAAATGTAGGATTTTAAAACAATTTTATAATTAATCCAAGGAACATAGTCTCCAACTTTTTCCACCTTATTTGTTTCCTACTCCTGAAACCAAAATCTCAAGGCCATGAAGTCGATTCTAACTGTGAATCTGTGCGACTCTGTAAAGAATGCTTGGAAACCGATTGTTGTGTCAATTGTACAATTCTGCCTGACGTGATTGAAGTATGAAATGATATGATATATATTAATTAAAAAAATTAAAGGGTTTCCATCTCTATGGGAGCAGAAATCCCCATCTTTCTCTTCAGTGAAGCTGAGCTGTTAGGTTTCAAACTACTGACCTTGTAGTTAGCGGCTCTATGCTTACCAGAGAGTGCTATCTGAGGTGGCATACAAATTAAAATTTAAGAGTTAAGGCTCTAGGTGTATGGGGAATTCTGAAAGAGATTATGTACCCTAGTTGAGAATTTCATCCACAGAAAAGTGGTGCTGAATAGGACACAAGAGTTGATTAAGGCCTATCCAACAGTTTTGAATCAAAAAAGTAAGTATACATTGTTTGAGAACTAAATCATGCAAATATTACTTGAGACCCTTCAAGAAAATTTCTATTAATAGAAAAAGATAGTCATTTCTTAATGGAGAAATATATTTATTTCATACTTATGTGTACACATGCCAGCATTTTTACTTTGTAATATCTATAGAAAATCAAAGTATCTTATTAAAATAAAGTGTCTAAAATCTTCTGGATTATTCGGCTAGTGATATTTACCTTCATATTTAATTACAAAACGAGCATGTCATATGTACCTACTATGTACCATCACTAGGCTGCCTCAACCTTAACCTGTTGCTAAAATTAATGTACCTACTAGAGACAGTATTGTGCTAAGTGGCTGTGACGAGGTCTGTCATTATTTTTAAAAGCCTGAGAAGAACAGGCTTTATTTTATGAAATGAACACTAAAAAGTATTGTCTATAACTTAAAAAGCCTTACTCTGGGTTCATGTTTCAGTGCCCTTTTTTGTTATAAGAACTTCAGTAAACTGTGGGCCAAGGGAAAATTTTTCCAAAGAAAAACAAAAAGTGAAAATTTCCTGTATGGCTAAGGAATAACCTTTGAGGGGGCAAACCCCCAAACCAGAAAATTCCGCAGATGTGAGGGGATAGTGCATTTGGATTTCATTCCACCAGGTCAGACTGTTAATTAAGCTTTTTATTTAGAGGTTCTGAAAAGATAGCATAACAATGTGCGACAATAAAAGGCCTGATTGGTGGCAGACGGAGGACTGGTTTTGCCGCCATGACAATGCACCTGCCCATGCAGCCATCTCAGGGCGCCAGTTTTGGGCAAACAAACAGCATGCCTCTCTTGCCCCATGCACCTCCCTCATGCAACCTTGCTCCATGTGACTTCTTTTTGTTTCCGTGAGTGAAGAGGGACATGAAAGGACAGTGGTTTCGTGATGTAGAAGAGGTGAAGGAAAAACAAGGTGCTATCAGCTATCCAGACAGCTGAGTTTGAAAAATGTTTCCAAGAAAAGAAGATGATTGTATTCGGAAGATTAGGATGACAACAGAAGTTCTACTTCCTGTCTGTCCGAGAGACAGTTTTAGGAACAAGAACCAACAGTCTCTGGTGGTCATTTTGTTCACTGTATCTCCCAACCATTTTTCACAAAAAGATGTAAATAGAAGCTCTTTTACATAGTGTATTACTAGTATACATCCAAACTAATATTTGGCTGACCTTTTAATTTTACCTGAGAAAAATATTTGATTATTGAGTTTTAGAAAGCCAATGAAAAACGTCTATAGCCTGTCTTCTTAAAATATTGAAACATTGTTTTCAAATGTAAAAATTGAATAATAATTTGTTTCTTTTGGGTAAATCAAAATCATTTTAAATTAGTCATCTTTTGGCTTATGTATTCCAGAATATGTATAATGCTCTATATTTAGTAACTTTACTCATTCTCTTTCTGCCTGTCTCTCTCATTTTTTAACAAAATATGTCATTTGGGGAGTGGGTTTTCCAGATTTGAATAGAAAGGAGTTCAAATGCTTATTGAATTGAAATATAAGTCTAGAATTAAAGTAAAACTGTAGTTGATGTTTGGTTTTTTAATCTTTCAGCGTGTTTGAAGAAACTGACACAGATTTACAAGAGTTGCAGGCCTCCATGGAGCAGCTGCTTAGAGAGCAGCCTGGGGAAGAGGACAGTGAAGAGGAGGAATCAGTCCTCAAGACCAGTGATGTGGAGCAGAGTGCAGATGGCGCCGAGCTGGCGGACGAGGACGACAACCCCAGCAGTGAAAGTGCCCTGAATGAGGAATGGCACTCAGGTGTGTGATCGTGACTTTTCCCCCTCTATGAATATTTCAAGGAGAGTGTATTTTTCTGATATCTGATGTGAACCATTTCCGGCTTTTAATAAAACGAAAGCATGTGTCTGTTTCTACCTTTTCTACAAATGTTTATACACAATTGACCCATTTCTTTTTCATTAAGTTAATTTTTGAAGTATTTTTGTGATATTAGTTGTCTCTCATTTTTTGTCTTTGTTTTCTAGTAATAAGTACTTTTCGTTTTCTTCGCACTTTATGTTTTACAAAGTGTCTACGTACAGTAGTTAAAATAAGCAAGGTGAATAATGGAAGTAGTTTTTAAAACTTTGACATTTTTCTTTTGTTTAGAAACCATTCTTTTTTATAGCATACTCCTACATGCAGAGAAATGTTATATTTCAATAACTACTAAATATATTTGGAAAGAAAGGCTAATGTGAAAAGAAAAAAATCATCAGTTTTGTCTTTGATCAGAGTTTTTCAGAGCATCTAGAGTGTGGTGCATGGCATAAACCATACTGGGCTAAGTTTAGGAGATCTTTGTAGGTACTTCCCTAAAATGATATGTATCCTACGTTATTGGCTTTGACCACACATTTTATGTCATAGGTCAGGTATACTGTCTACTTTTAAAAAAAAACCTATTTAGAATGAGTGCTTCAAAGCCAAACATATGTTTTTCCTTTTTTATTAAATTAGATGACATCTCCAGGAATGCATCCAATCTAATCGAATTTGCTGTGGGTGTATATAAAATAAAAGACTTCCAAAGTAACAGTCTTCTTAAGACAGGTTTATACTTTGATTACTATTTATCATAGTAAAAACTGTTTATATTGATTACTATTTATCATAGTAAAACTGTTTATATTGAAAGTATGCTAGTTCAATGGCATTATTCATTTATCATAGAACTTTAGCCTATGGGGTAACATTATTTAGCCAGTCTTATTTTTTAATCAGTCTTATTTTAGCCAGTCTTATTTTTCATCATACAATGTCTCCATTGGTTTTGTGTCTTCAGATGACAGTGACGGTGAGATTTCCGGTAGATGTGAGTGTGACAGTGTCTTTAACCACTTAGAGGAGCTGAGGCTTCATCTGGAGCAGGAAATAGGTTTTGAAAAATTCTTTGAGGTTTATGAGAAAGTAAAGGTAAGTAACATGTCAATGAAAACATTTATTTCTAACAGATTCTCTGAACACAAATGAAATGTTGATCTGTACTAGTCAATAAACATATTTCAAATAATTAGTGAATTTATCACTAATTAGAAAAATTATGATTTATATATTAATTTATATTTGGGAAATTGGTATAGGCTATTCATGAAGATGAAGATGAAAATATTGAAGCTTGTTCGACAGTAGTTCAGAATATTTTGGGGAATGAACATCAGCATCTATACGCCAAAATTCTTCATTTAGTCATGGCAGATGGAGCATATCAAGAAGGTAAGATTTCCTCAGAAACCTCTGTATTTAAATAAATGACAACAAGCAATTTAACATGAAGCTAAGAATAAACTAAGAATACAAAATTCATGTTCAAAAGGTCTCCACAATTGCTGGAATTCAATCTCAAATTTGGCACTGGTCATTATAGCAAAGCAGGAAACCTAATTACATGAGTCATATTGTTCCTAATACAAAATCTATTAGTTGTTCAGAAGGATAACTATTTTTGGTATTCAAACTAAAGGTCAAAATTTCTCATGATCCTTACAAAGAGGGCACTATAATACAATGTTCCTTAAACTTCAGTAACATCTGAATCCCTTAAAGGGGACTTTTTTTCTGATGTCAGCAATCCCAAGGCATTCCACTGAGAAACTAAAATATTAATCTTTGAGAATATTGGTTAGTTGTGAATCATTGCTAGAAACCATGTTTTCAATTTTTTTTAACTTTTAAATATTTTCCAGCATTATTTGAAACTTGTAGATTCCTCACTTCATTGAGATTTTTACCTGTGTAAAAAAAGTATTCAACCCTTATGATATTTTTACAGTACAAATTTGGTATAAGCATCAATAACTTCAGCTGCTAATAAAAGTGCTTAAATTCTTTCATATTATTCTTAATCAATTCCTCAACATGGAGATAATGGTATAACAGTGGTTCATGGTAGAACAGTAGAGACTAGCAGGACCTCGTGTAAAACTCTGATCTTGCCAGCCCAGGATTACAGATTCTCAAAGAGGAAACACATACTGTTCACTCTACATTCATTGTAGATAGATTATTGTGCTGTGTTTAGGGGGGCGGGGGATGGGCGGGGAGTACAACCGCCCTTATAAATGAACTAAATATCCAAGTTTTAGTACAAAAGCAAGGGTTTCTAATAAGAAATTAAATTATTACTATTTATATGCTATTCAAAATAAAACATTTATTTATATATGTAACTATATGGTAAAGTAAAACATCATGGATGGGAAGGATGTGTTTGTTTCAGTTTCAGAATACTCAAAATGCCCTAGGGAAGAAGAGAGGACAATAAGATTGGGAAATGGTACTTGCTAGCTGTAATAATTTCTTTCTTGATAAATTATCTAAAATAATATAGTTAAAATTAGTTTTTATTCTAGGTTTTAAGCATATATGTGCCATCATATTATTCTCTGTACTTTCCTAAATGTTCCAAATTTTTTAAAAAATCATTTTATTGGGGGCTTGTATAATTCTTATCATACACAATCCATACATCCATCCATTGTGTCAAGCACATTTGTACATTTGTTGCCATCATCATTCTCAAAACATTTTCGTTCTACTTGAGCCCTTGGTATCAGCTCCTCATTTTTTTGCCCTCCCTCACCGCTCCCCCCATGAACCCTTGAAAATTTATAAATTATTATTATTTTGTCATGTCTTACACTGTCCAACGTCTCGCTTCACCCACTTTTCTGTTGTCCTTTCCCCAGAGAGGGGGTCATATGTCGATCCTTGTAATCGGTCCCCGCTTTCTGCCTCACTTTCCCTTCACCCTCCTGGGATCACCACTCTAACCACTGGTCCTTAGGGGTTCATCTGTCTTGGATTCTATGTGTTTCCAGTTCCTATCTGTACCAGTATACATCCTCTGGTCTAGCAGGATTTGTAAGGTAGAATTGGGTTCATGATAATGGAGAGGGGAGCATTTGGGAACTAGAGGAAAGTTGTATGTTTCATCGTTGCTACACTGCACCCTGACTGGTTCGTCTCCTCCCCTTGGCCCTTGTGTAAGGGGATGTCCAGTTGTCTACAGATGGGCTTTGGGTCTCCACTCCCCACTCCCTCCCCCCATTCACAGTGATATGATTTTTTGTTCTTTGATGCCTGATACCTGATACCTGATACCTGATTCCTTCAATACCTCATGATTACACAGGTTGGTGTGCTTCTTCCATGTGGGCTTTGTTGCTTCTGAACTAAGTGGCTGCTTGTTTATCTTCAAGCCTTTAAGACACCATGGTATCTCTTTTGATGGCCAGCCACCATCAACTTTCTTCACCACATTTGCTTATGCATCCACTTTGTCTTCAGTGATCGTGTCGGGAAGGTGAGCATCATGGAATGCCAGTTTAATAGAACAAAGTGTTCTTGCATTGAGGGAGTACTTGAGTGGAGGCCTAATGTCCATCTGCTACCTTAATACTTACCCTATGAATATATGCACATATATTTATTTCCCTATCCTCATATATAAATATAGTTACATGTGTACATGCCTGTATTTAAACCTGTATAAATACCCTTTGCCTCCTAATTTTTCACTCTATTTCCTTTTACTTTCCTCTTGTCCCACTATCATGCTCAGCCTCATTTGGGTTTCAGTAATTCCTCTTGATCAAGTTCTACCAGACCTCTTATACCTTCCTCACCACTGATTTTGGATCACTTGTTGTTCCATTGTCCCTTGATTTGTTATAACCACTTCCTTTCCCCCACCTCCCCTTCACCCATGTCCCCCGGAACCATCGGTCCTTTGTTTTCTCCTCCAGATTGTTATCCTGCCTATCTTATCTAGATAGACCTGCAGAGTTAATAACATGCACAAAAACAAGAAAAAACAAACAAGGCAACAAAAGAAAACAAAACAAAACAACAAAAAAAAACCAATGACAAAAAAAGAAAAGCCTGTAAATAGTTCAAAGTCTGTTTGTTGACCCTTAGGAGTGTTTTCCCTTCGAGTCTGATGGGGTGTCACACCCTGGCCCCAAAGTCTATTTTTGGTACTCCCTTGGGACTTCCTTGCTTTGCTCCCCTTGCTGTCCTGTTGCACGCCCTAGTGTTTTGCCGCGGTGTGGTGGGATCGGTGCAATTCTCACACTGGGTCTCCAGTGTTGTCCCCTGGAGGGCTATGGGTCAGTGAGGGAAGTCAGGTTTCGTAGTCGGCCGGCCATCTGGTCTTCTCTGTGCATTGGCTGCTCTGAGCAGGGATATCCTCCTCAAGGCTTGGTGGGCCAGGATGTGCTCCACTCTCTCTTCCTCCCACTTCAGTTGTTCCTGTGTGCTCTGATCAAACATGTCCCTCTCCCTGAGCTTTAGCTTCAGTGCTGTCCTCTGAAGTAAATTCTTCTCGGGGAGAGGCTGCTGTTCAAGTAGTTGGGATTGGGGTCTCAAATATTTTATAATTATAAAAAATCGGTATCCACAATGTGATAAATGTAGCAGTAGAAGCAATAAAGTATATATATTATATAAAGTACTGATCCTGCTGTATTGGAGGAAGGAAAGTTAGCAGTATAGGTCTTCATGGAGAAAAAAATCTGAGCTGGATTTTGAAATATGAGAGAGAATTTGCTAAAGTCAGTAAGCCTTTCGTACATAGAGGGATGCATATTATTCTCTATACTTTTCCTATTCTTTCCATGGCCCAGGAGACACACAACTCTGTTTAGTGCTCTGGTTCTGCTGCTGCCACTCCTCTGGTGTTACTGTTCCCCAATCAAGGAGGTTCAAAGCACTGGAATCTCGGGGTCCAAAAGACTCACTTCAGTCTTGGCTTTTTTCTCTTAATGGTAGTGATATTCTCTTACCCACTTCTGAGATACTCATTTTAAACTCAGCAGGTTGAAAAAGCTGAACAAGCACCTTATTGAATTTCTTTGTTTTTCCAATCACAATTAACTCTGTTAATCACTCATAACTGAGTCACATAATCCTATTAGTATCTTCTCTTACTTCTCTCCCTTCCTTTGGCCCCTCTATTTGGTAGAAGTCACAGACCATGGCTAGGAGAGCCATATCAAGTAAATCGCTGCACCACACACATCCTCCTCTGAATCTGCCTTGAGTCACTGGCATTTCTGTGTTGATTTACTACTGCAAGCATTTAAAAAATATTGTCAACAGAATTTTACTTGAGTAATAGTAATAAAATTGTTGTATAATTTCCAAGTTCTGTTGGATCACCTTTCTTTGTAAGGAGCACAAATATGGATGTCTTCCACTCAGTTGACCAGGTTGCTGCCTTCTAAATTTTTTGGCATAGACAAAAAGTGAACGCTTCCAATGTTGCATTAATTTGTTGAAACATCTCAATTAGGATTCCATCAATTCTGGAACTTTACTTGCTGACAATGCCGTCAGTGCCATTAAATATCTTCCTCCCCTCTACCGGGTTTTGATCATTTCAACCTGAAATGGTTGAACATCAACCAGTGACTCCATAGAAAAAAATGAGGCTCTCTTCTCCCATAAAGATTGGATTTACTTAGATTTGACTCAGACTGCCTGAATGCTGCAAATAGTTGGTTAACATTCAACTGCTATAGTTGGAATTTAGACTGCTCACAAACACCCTTGAAGTGAGGCATGGGGAACTTCTTTAGAAAATTCAGCATTGAAAGGCCTATGGAACACCATTTTGCTCTGACACCAGCCAGGAGTCAAAATCAATTGACAGCAACCTGACATCTGAGTAGTTTTTGATTCTTACTTTGTGCTTTATTGTACGGTCTGAGTATTTTCTAGTCAGTATTTATCATTATAATAAAGAAGCAGACCTTTGACAAGATGGGGTGGCACCATGGCTACAACAATGGACTGAAACAGAAAAGCAATTGTGAGGAGGGTGCAGGACTTGGAGGTATTTTATTCTGTTGAGTTTGGTCACTGTGAGGCAGAACTGACTTGACCAGCTAACACTAACAACACTGAGAATTACACTAAATTTGGAAATAGTCAAGAGAAGTATTACACAACTCAAAAACTGAAGCAGACTTGTAAAAATTTGAATGAGTATATGTCTTGCTGTGCATAATCACAACACCAACAAAGTAAAATAAATGTAAACCCAAATATTACAGTAGAACTCTTTTAGTGTAAGAAAGAATGATAGATACAATTTGATTTGCAATGAAGGGATCTAATTCTTCATTCTTTTCTCAACAGATAATGATGAATAATCCTGACTCGGTATTTCTTAAACCTTACCTGGATGAATGACTGCATTTGAACTCAGTTTATCACAAAAACAAGCTCCAGTGAAAAATAATAGCAATCATTTATATCGAAAGAGTATCAGATTTAACATGGGCATGTTGCATGCATGAAAGAGATGGAGAAACAAGCCATTTTCAACTATAAATCTAATATTTATTTTATGCTGTTCATTGAGTTCTATAGTAACACAGATATTTACCGTGTTAAATCATCCAACCAAAGTTGAAGAGACATTGACCCAGAAATGGACAGTAATTTAAAAGATTTATCATGCAATAAGGTCACCCTGACATTTGCAAATATCTTAAGGCTGAAAGAATTACCTATTCTTCATGAGAAAGACCTGCCTCATGGATTTTCATTTAAGGATCTAAGCATGGCTCTCCCTCGCCCCCTCCCATCTAGTACTTGTTTTCATCCTTTGCAGCAAGTCTTTATTAAATAACCTTGTCAAGGGCTCTGTTTAAATATTTACAATTTGAGAATGGAATTTTTAAGCCTTAAAATTTATATAATAATTTCTTTTCCACCCAGTGTATCTCCTAAACTAGCTCATTGTAAACAGGCTACAAAAGCACTTAGAAATCATTGGAATATTTGATTATGAAAAAAAAATAGCAAATTTATTCTGATATTTTAAAGGTTGGTTAATTCCATTCAAGGACCAGAACCAGTAATATAGTGTTTCTAAAAATTAATATGTTAATTTTAACGTTGACCAAGCAGGTAACCTAAAGTTGCTCTTTGGTTTTTAACTTCATCTCAATGTATGTGCTTCAAGGGCATTATGAAGTTAAAAAAGAGAGATAAATAATTTTTACTTTGACCTTGTCACAGGTTTAGTAACTAGTTTCAAAGGGAAAGTTTGCCTTGCTTACTTATTCTGAGACGACTTGCTTGGGTCATTAAGATGATGACTATACGACTTCAGCTACAGTAGCCAATGGTATTATTTGGTTTCATTAGATATGTCTAAAGTTTAGATGATTTTAGTAATGAAAGCTGAATTTCAGAACCTCTGTATACAAACTGCCAGACAGGCACAATCTAGAATTTGAAAAATAAAATCATTTCTCTTGCAGTACTATCAGTACTATGTTGAAGTTGTTGCATATATTCCTTCTGACATCCAAAAGTAAATACTTGATTTTTATACATTTATTTTATATTACTATTAAATTTTTATTATCTATCTGAAATATAACTTTTGATGTCTTTATTCACAGTCTCTCTTTTTTTTAATTTGGGTGAAAGTTTACAGAGTAAATTGTGCTTCCATTCAACAATTCATATACATTTTTGTATATGGTTGCAGTCCCCACAGTGTAATAAAATAGCGTCTGGGGTCTCAAAGGCTTGTCTCCAAACAAGCAGCCATCTAAGTGAGGTGTCAACTAAGTCCACATGGAAGAAGCATGTCATCATCAGTCACCAAAGGATTCTGAAGCATGTAATTATGAAATTGAAGGAAGGATGAGTATCAGAGCCTAAAGTGTGAGAATCTGGTTTGCAGAAGGCTATGGATGACAGTGGGAGCCCAAGACCCATTTGTGGAACTACATAGGAAATAAGCCTCCGGTGAACTCCCTCTATTCACAATTGAGGAAGCTGAGGAAGTGCTAACTAAACAGAGTGCATTAAAGGGTTGAGTATAGAAGATCAAAGGCATAAATTTGATGTCAACAGTTAAAACTGTGTCAGCAGATCCCCCCTATGATGCATGCTGGATCTGACCTGGTTTCCAAAATTTTCTGTATTTTTGGTTTATTTGGCTTGGGTTTTTTTGTACATATTTGGGTATATCTGAGGTGTTATGTTATTGTGAGTCACCATCTTGAAGTTGTGTTGAACGTTTTGTGTGTTTCGGTTTATGAAATCCAGGATTGATGAACCTAGAAAGACAAAGTATAAAAAGGGCTTTGGGGGGGCACGGGGGACAGTGGTGGTGGTGGGGTGAGGGGAAGACAATGTCAAGGAGTCCATGTAGAAAATGAATGTTTGAACACTGTGTTAGCAAATGTGCAATTTTGCTGGATGTGATTGAACTATGGGGTGATAAAATATATGTATTAATTCCCAATTAATAAATTTAAAAAAAGA